CTATATTTTATTTATTTCCTGTGTTCACCATTTTACTGAATCAGGAGCTCATTCAGCAGCATTACCATCCCACCCCCTCACCCCCCGGGTCTGATGTGTACATAGGTATGTCTGTGGGCAGTGTGATATCATGTGACTGCTGGGCTGATACAATGGAATCCCAATATAATAGAAATGTAGATATCATGTTATCAACATTCCATCAGCTTCAGTCATAGGACTGTCACCTGTATAGTATAGTGAACCTGTACTTTGCCCACACTGGACAGACTAACAGTTTTCACCTCTTCTCAGAAATGCTTGTTTTTTTTATCATTCACTTATCTTACAATAATCCTCATCATTATGATCTCTTCCAGTATTTTCGGCAGTCAGTATGGAACCCCCCCCCCAGGAATAAAGCACAGCAGGACACAAGGCTGTATATTAGGCATCTTTCTCTTTAATAACATTATTTTACAATATACCCAAAAGTTGATAAAACCCTCAAAAAATACTACATCAGTAACCGTTCTGTACAATTTCAAAAAGGAATATTACAGCTTTTCTTTTTTAGGAAAATAAAATATTTTTGTTTCTGTGAAAAGAAGTAACACTTTATACTGAGCAAAAAAAAAAAGGAAATGGGTGAAATAGATGTAAAGTTTACCCCCCCCCAGTCACATGACGGGACAATGAGGGGAAGAGAATTTCATGTCAGAAAAGTGTCTGCGATGCCACCGCGTCATCCAATCAGATTTTATACTCTGCAATTGGCGTCATTTACATAAAACATCTACAAGCATGCTGTCTGTATCTCACTCCAGGTCCCAGCATGCTTTGCCAGACTAAATACAAATAGGTTTTAGATAGAAAGGGAAAGGGTTGTCACCTCTGCCAGGTTTTAACGGCGGGACCCGGCTTCACTTTGCTGGTCACCGATGACACAGGAAAATCAAATTTGTCACCAGGTCAAATAAAGCCGCTCTCAGACCCAATATTCCACGGGAACGTACATCTCTGCCCAATCAGCAAAACAAAGGCAACTCGTCGAAATCGCCAACTACCTCACTGACGGGTACTTACTTGCAAGCTGGAGATTTGGACCAGACAGCGTTAGACTGCAAAACACAAAAGACTGACGGAGCCTCGGTACAGCTGCATTTTAACAATATTCAGCAGGTGGAAAACTGGACGAGTATTCTGAAAACGCTATGCGCGCATGCATGTGGATAGCAACTGTACAGAGCTCCAGTCTTTCTGAACACCGAAAGTGAGGTAGTTGGAGATTTCGATAAGTTTGAGCTTTTGATGGAACACCGACACTTGTAGGAATCCTCTTAATGGCGTCTCTTTATTGACAAGGCATAAAAGCAGCTACAAAAATTGCTAACATGTTTCAGTCCACCATAGACATGCTATGTTAAAGTCCCTCGGTAGACTGAAACATGTTAGCAATTTTTGTAGCTGCTTTTATGCCTTGTCAATAAACAGACACCATTAGGAGGATTCCTGCGAGTGCCGGCTCTTTTCCCTTTTATTTTGCAGATCAGAATGTGAGGGGGAGTTACCCCAACAGGGACATTGTAATAAAACCCAACAACCCTTCCCCAATATATCCAGAAAGAACTCGTTGTAGTGGCAGAATTAGTTTATGGAGTTGGCTGGAATGATGGACAGCTATGAAAACAGTCACACGTCTCCTTTCATTGGGTTAGGAGTCAATAAAATATAAACTTCTGCAATTTGATTGGTTGCTTCCAGCAGCCGCCTCATTGTTGACGTGAGCGTGTTTCCATAACTATGTCCAACGAATGGAAAGTATATTGAATATCTCAATTGCTGCTGAAATATTATTTCCCTGTGACTGTTACATTCGTCTCAGAATTAACCGGGAGAAGTGGTGACGCAATATGGCAATATTGCGTCACCACTTCTCCCGGTTAATTCTGAGACGATGAATCAAATCTGCTAAAAGTGAACTACAGCGTTGTGTTATCGCAGAAGCAGAACTCTGTGACTGGTTTACCTGGTGCTGGTGACCGTAGCCAGATACCTAAACGCCGACCCCCCTTTAGAAAACAAAATATGAACATGAACAAGCCTAGCGGGCTAATAAAATACTTCACATAAATAAGAATACAATAAAACAAGACGCCTAAAACAGCGTCAGAAAATTACAGAACCGCAGCCAGAGGGAAGCTGCAGAGCAACACCGGGCCAAAAAAATCATAAGAGGGAGGGGAAGTGAACGTCTTCCCCCAACCACCAGACAGAGTGAAGACCCGCTCGGTCCTCTGTAAGAAATGTATTTCCTTTTTATATATAAATCCGCTTTTTCTACACAATGGTCAGGTCAGTGATAATGGAATTGTTTCAGCACTTTAGAGAAAGAGCCAATAATTCCCGGAATTGGGGTGTGATAGTTCTATGAAAAAGATAAAACGAGAAATCAGAATTCCAGAGAAATTAACGCTTACAGCCTTCCGTGAAACGCGTTAAAACTGTAGTGTGGAAAAATGTGCAAAAAGTATTTACAATCGGAAAGGTTCATCTGCCAGACACGAGCGGTAGAGGAAAGTGCCGTCCGTAGTAATGACATCCCAGACAGCGGACTGCAAGGTAAGCTCTGGAGATCACTTGTTGTAGAATATGGAATCTTTTCTGTTGATGGTTTATTCCTGAAATGTCATATGACTGATGGCGGCCTCGCTGTCACAAACGGGAAACGTGTCACTTTAATGCTGAGGGAGGAATGACGCAACGCTGGGCCTATTAAAGTAGAATTATGGGGATGAGTGAAATACATTCTCCCCTATTATTAGAGCCGACGTGTCATTGACGCTGCCACATGTTGGTTCTACAGATCGAGAACTGAACGATCACATACCACTGATCACTCAGTTTCGGATCTTCTTCCTGCAGAGAACGGTGACTGTCAGTCACCTCCCCCCAAAAGGGATTCCCTCCTTCCCGATCCTCCATTGCTGACTGGAGGGATGGATGGGGTAGGGGGCAGGGCAACTGTCAATCCAGCAACAGGGTGGATTCTTCCCTCCCGCAGCTGCTATAGCCTGCTTACATTAGTGAATGTCCTCCTGTGACCCTAAAGCAAACTATGGCCAAAAAAGGTTGAACCGTAGTTCTCTTTCAATAAATATACTGTCACTGGAATAAAAACCAAAGTGAAATATCCCCTGCAAAGGAGAAAGTAAATACCGCTGCCTGAACAATCCTTCTGGGAGTGTCAGATCCCTTGTCTTCCCCAATGTGCTCTGTGGCTCCTCCCACCGTCCCCCAAGTCACTGCAATACACAATAGTGCTGATGGATTGAACCCCCCTCCCAGAAGTGTCAGATTCTGAAGATTGAGCGAGAGGAGAGCCGAGTATTTACATTTGATTTCAGAGACAATTGCTTTAGAGGAAATGAGTGCAAATCCTTCTACCATAGGTCGGCCTTTCACCTCTAGCCCTCATTCACAGTAGAATCTGCCGACACGGACAGCTCCGTGCTGCGTGCACGGCCGTATCGCTCAGCTCCCGGGAAGGACGGGCTGCGTGCACGGCCGTAGCGCTCAGCTCCCGGGAAGGACGGGCTGCGTACACGGCCGTAGCGCTCAGCTCCCGGAAAGGACAGGGGCTGCGTGCACGGCCGTATCGTATTGCTCAGCTCCCGTGAAGGACGGGCTGCGTGCACGGCCGTAGCGCTCAGCTCCCGGGAAGGACAGGGGCTGCGTGCACGGCCACATCGCTCAGCTCCCGGGAAGGACAGGGGCTGCGTGCACGGCCGTATCGCTCAGCTCCCGGGAAGGACAGAGGCTGCGTGTGATTAGTACGCAGCTCCCCCGTCCTCCTCTATGGGAGTACGCGGCCGTACGCCACCCTACGCTCACCACAAGTGTAGGTCCGTGCGGGTGCGAGTTTCCTGGCTCAGACACAGCGCTGGCTGTTTCTAGTTTGAATGAGGGCTTAATAGGCTGCAATCATCAGACTGAGGAAACAAAGGAACCTCTACATAGGGAGGATTGTGCATCTCCTGGAGCATTACAATGATTGTATCGCTTTAGGAGAAAGTGCTGCCGGAATCCTCTGGAACTATTCTGCTGGTCGCCCTCTAGGACATTGTATCACAAATTAGAACATTGTATCCGTCTGATAGAGAATGATAAAAGAAAATAAGAGCAAAAAGAGGAAGGACTAAAAGTGCTTTTCTCTGCCATCTTCTAATGACCGTTCTCTCTCTTGTGACGTTTAGCCATCATGCCAGCATTATGGGAGGACAGAAGATAAAACTCTCCCACAACATTGTAAGTTTTGTCTGCTGATTTAAATCGTAAGTCGTATTTATAAAAGATGAAATGTGAACATAGCGTGACGGCACTGCCAGGACTGACCGTGAGGCCGAAATTGGGGGGGTTCCCCATATCTGTACTCATTCACTGCTCTTCTAATAGGTTGGTGTTTAGGACTTTTAGTGCCTCTTCTCCTTAAGAAACACTAGCGGCATTTCTTCATTTTGGGCGGGGGGTTTAAGAAAGATAACCGGTCATTTCTTTGTATATATATCGGCTGGAAATCTCCCATAGCTCCTTCTGGATTTGTTCATAATAAATAAGAAGCAACTATTTCCCAGACGAATTGATATTTTGTACACAAATTATAAATAAAGTTTAGAGATCTAAAAAAAATAGAAAATATCAATTGAAATATCGGATTAAAAAGAAAAGCCATCAAGTGGAGGCGGCGGTTTTGAGGGCTGAGCCGGTCGAGGCCTACAGCGGATCACTAAGTAAGAGCAGTGGCTAAGCACACACAATGGCCTCCTCCGCAGAGTGATGGCAATGGAATCCCTTTAAGATTCTGTTCTGTAATTGACATTTGCTTTCACCTCCATATGAGGCATGAGCATCCGACATCCCTTCAATAGTTCAGGAATTACAAGTGCCAGCATACGGGACTTTAGCTGTCTGGGATTTGCAGTTCTTCAGCTGCTGAAGTCTCACCGGTCGCCCAACATTGAAATAATGACACGTTACGTGACAACATGGCGATGAGCCGGATTTTTCCTCCTCTACCATAATGGGATGCAGTGTAACAGAGAGGGAGACAGTCACTTCCTGTTCAGGCCTCTTGCGTCAGCGGTTGCTGTGGGAGGTCATTGGGCGAGTTTTCTAACGTCCAAGTTTTGTTTTCATCGCAGTTCTCTGAGTCATTAGAGGGGGTATCGGGAGATGGGGGCAAGATGGCGTCATCCTCCTTTACACAGATGTCAGAATCACCTGGGGGGAAAAAAAACAACCTCATTGTTATACAGAACTGTTCCATGCCATTCAGAATACAAATCCTTCAGACAGCCATTGTGCTTCACCCTTTAGCCAGAAAGGCTAAAGATCTTTGACCACCCCCATTATGTACAGAGCTCCAGCATAGGGTGACTTCCAGGCAATTCTGTCACCTTTCTATTGATGTCCCCATTGGGGAGGTTTCTCGTTCCCTCCTGCTTTAGAGATGAGCAGGAAGTAGGAGGACATCAAAGCGAGGAGAAGTTCCTCCATCAGCAGTGGTCACTGGAATGGGTGTCCCCGCTGGGAGATTTCCCCTCACCTCCTGCTCTGGTGATAACTGTAAAATGTCTAAATTCCCAGTCCCTGTGGCCATGGTGAAGACAAGAGTAAGGGGGAACCAGACGCACCAGCTATACAAATCTGGCAGGTGCCGACCAATCTCCATTTTAATTCCCCTGGCCTTACTGTGGCACTTACAGTGTTATTCACAAAGCTGCCCGAAGGCAGCCGAGTTAATAACCGAGCCGAAGTGAACAGAGCCGAACGACGTTCGGCTATTCACTCCGGCTCAGTACTGCCGATTTCAGCCGTACATCAGCTGCCCTCGGTTAGCCGAGCATGCTCTGCATGTTGGGCTGAGCCAAAATGCAGAAGGACTTTGACTCAGCCGATCCAACATCTGGATCGACTGAGCCGAAACTCTGGCAGCTCACTCGCTACCGTTCGCCCCTATTCACATAGGGGCCGAGCATCAGTGAATGAATAGCCGAATGCCACCAGGCGGAATTCGGCTCGGCTGTTCTGCTCGGTACCTCCGAGGTACCAAGCCGGATAGCAAAATAGTGAAAAGAGTGAAATTTAAAAAAAATATATATTTGCAAAATGATTTTTAAAATGTTAAAACATAGGAAGATGAAAAAAAAAGAATATTTTCAAGAAAAACAAATAAAAAAAACAAAACAATTTGGGTGGAGCTAGCAGTGACAGATAGCTCCACCCCAACTGTTTCCTATTGGCCGACACCTGCTAGAGTCTTCTAGCTAGATACCCTTCATATTATAGACATTTGGGATAGGGAAATATTCGTTGTTATAAATATGTGGCCAACACGCCCTCATCTGGTCAGATTTGCTCTTGGAGTCTATAGACGTGGGATAATTCTTCCTTTAATAGAAGGCTGAGCGGGTGAACGCCCCTCCCCCCTCCCTTTATTTCTGGACAGCATTCATCCTCCATATGATCATTAGCGGGCTCACCTTGTATCTCTTCCAGCCCATCCTGACTTGGTGTACACGGCGCTGATGGCTTTTCATTCACTTCCTCCTGGAGCTCTATGCCGCACTCAGGTGAGGACGGGATCATGGGCACGGCCTCTGGCATCAGTTGCTTGGTGTCCGGGTTCTCTTGCAGCGGCGTCCTCGTCACGCCGTTTCCACTTTTGCTAAAACATCTAAAAAAAGCAACAAAGACAAATCGCAGATTTACATCTAAACTTCATCATCAAGTACGGTGGTAAAATGGAGACGCGGATATAAAAAGTGGCCTCTGTGCTTTCTATTTTTATTACTGGACGGTGCTAGCTGACAATACTGACAAAGGCGCCTCTGTTTATATACAGACCACCAGGGACCTGCATGGAGTATGTAGTGACCTACCTGTTGTTGTTGCAGCAGTTTCTGCAGTTGATGCACTCTGAGGGGTCAGTCTGGGGTATGGCAGTGTATAGGATGCCCCCCTGTAATACAAGACAAATGTAGTGGCCCCGTAAGTGTTTTTATAGATTTTCTGTGTTACTGAACAACAGTTTTCTGTCATTTTTAGTTTCCAGGTTAAGTATTCCCAAAATGTGACTCTCATTGCCCAATCTGCAGCTCACAGTGTTCCTATAGAAGCAGCACCCTCTCCACCCTCGCCAGTCATTCACATACAGAAAGTACAATATAAGAGTATGTCAGGGCCAATCTCCCAGCATGCCAATGGGCTTTTGTTCCTGCTCTGTAGATGTAAATAGAGATCAGGGGAGATCACATGACCCAGAAAGCTGAATGACTCAGAGGAGAAACACACCACCACTCCCTCTCTCTTAGCAGAGATGGCATCGTCTGCTTCATGCCCTTTGTTATAAAATGTTTATTTGTAAAACGGAAGATTTTACCCAAAGAAAAAAAATCATTAAACCTGAAAAATGACGTACAATATACAAAGGAATTGTAAATAAAATGGATTGAAAAACCCCAAACAGAAGGTCAGCTGAGTGCTGCGCAGTGAGGAAGACTTACATTGGCAATACTATGGGGTAAGTGCTCATAGTCTGGACACGTCCCTTTATGAGGATTGCTGCAGGTGGGGTACAGCTCTCCATTCATGACGCCGTTGATGCCGTTGTGTATACCGTGATGCATGTGTGGGCAGCCATTGGCGATATTCCCATTTCCCATGAATCCTCCGTGGACGGTTCCATTTATCCGGTTGGTTCCCGGCAGTGTTGTGTATTCTACCATCTGCCCATTCAGATCGGATCCTTGATAGAGATAACCAGGCGGTTCAAATTCTGTGGAAACAAAGAACCCAGTTAGGTCTACAAGGGTGGGGGGGCTGTATGGACCTGTCTGAGCATTACAGCAGCAGAGGCCGTTCCACCAAATAGTGTCCAACTTGTCCCTGTACCAGGTTTTACATTGGAAGGTCGGACAGTAAAACAATGAAGGTGTGTTATCAGTGTGCGCTCCTTCATGATCATTCAGAGCCGCCAGGAAGAAATGGATTTGTTTTCACCTTCACCTCATTCACTAAGCTAAGGCAAATCTTTCCTTGCACAGTGAACAGCCTATCTGCCCCCATTGGAAATTTTTATTACTTTCAGAATTGATTTCCCAAAGAAAGAGACTGAGAGGCACTTACTGTGCATGAGACGTTGCTGTCGATGTTTCAGGAGACACATGGCGATGAAGGTCATCAATATAAGGACCATCCCGCCCAACACGCAGCCGACAATGACGTACAGCATGTCCCCACTCCGTGCCAGAGTGATGGATGAGCTGGAGCTTCCTCCTGCATTCCGCTCTGAAGCGGACGTCGTGCTGAGCTCCAGAGGGGGGAATTCGGAGGCGCCGGGGCTCCTACGGGCTGAATGTAACAAAGACATAAAACAGGGAACTTAGTCCGGTCTCAGAGCCAGGAATCGGCTTCCAATCACTGCAGAAAGAGCTTATTATAATGAGATGGATGTATTCTCCACACGCTCCAGGAAATACAAATAATAGGATGTGGGGGACTCTAATCACATGACCCCAGAAGTACTTGTTACATAACGTTTACAAATCCTTGCACAATACAGATGTTTGGGGTCCAGGGGCCCACAACAAGTGTCAAAGGGTCACATTTGGTCTCTAGGGAGAGGTTTGGGGGTACATTTGGGTAATGTCTACCGTGCCTCACCTTTAGTCTCACAAATCATGACGTTGCTGTAGTCACTGGCCCCTCTCTCATTGAAGCACTGCATCTTGATGTCATAGGACGTCTCTGGCTGCAGGTCCCGGATTAAATGTTGATGTTTAGTTCCTGAGTGAAAACACCGACACGCTCTTCTGTGACTCAACATTCTTACTGAGCATTGTGAACATTGTTTTTTTCATTTTTCGTGGTGACACCCAACACAGCGCTGGACTTACCTTCCACCACGTCCCTCTTGTAGTCGCCGTCATTGTCGCTGTCGGTGGGCCGGTAGTAGATATAGAAGCCTTGAATGGGGGTGTTGTTGTTGTTTGATGGAACGTACTAAGAAGCAGAGGGGGGTACGGGGCGGGATTTAGTACATACACAGTGCAGATCTTCAGTCACATAACATTCCTTATATTACAGGGAAAGAGAGAAGTAGAAATACTCACAGTCCATTTCAGCAGTATGTGCGTGTCTGTCACCGCCTCCGTGTGGTCGATGCGAGGGCCAACAATCAGCGGGTTGGGTAGACGGCTGCCGTAGGCAGCAACCTGGTAGGGTCGTGACACCGAACTGCGCGTACTCTCCCCGTAATTATTGATGGCGATGACCCGGAATTTGTACATTGCACCTTCAATGGAGAAAAAAGGGATAATCAGATGATAAAGAGCAGAATACGTTATTCAAACTTGTATGGACTATGAATGTGACTGGAATGGACTATTAGTCCCTCCAATGGCCGGTCCTATAATACAGTCACGCGGCTCTTCCTGTACCTGGTTCCAGATTGGACACCTCCACTGACAGTTTTGATGGCGGGATGTTCTCTGCGGCAGTAACCCAAAGTCTCCCGGCTCTCTTGTATTCCACTTTAAAGGACGTGATCGGGGATCCTCCGTTCGCCCTCGGGATCCAGGTGACGTAGACGGAGGTCTCGGACGCACTGGAAATGGTGGGGCGATCCGGAGCTTCGGGAACTAAAGAGAACAAGCAAAAGGTCACCAATGTATATAAATGGTATGTACAATTCCTTCATTATCAGTGCCAACTACTACACACAGAAATCAAACAGAATTCAGACTTTCAGACGCAGTCATTGGAAACAAGAGCGCACGGACGAGGGCTCAGTGTGCAGCTTATGGTCAGTCTAAGGAGAAGCCTGCAACGTCTTTGTGGAGCTTAAACCTTACAGTGCAATTAATGCGTTATGCTGATATTCTGCAAACACTCATATAGGCTGCACACCGCTGTGTTTTTTTTCTTCAGTTTCAATAAACTTTATTGAAACCACTGCATAGATTTTTTCACAAAGTTGTTCCTACCAGACCTGGCTCCTTACTTTTCACCCTCAATCAGCCCGCAGAGATGAATGAACCCATCAGGGAAGGAGTCATGTCCAGTGGGAGTAAAGATATGAAAATAGCCATTCAGTGGTTTCAATAAAGTTTATTGAAATTAAAGACAAAACAACGGGGTGCGGCCTGGATGTTTGTTCATGACTGCAAGGAGGAGGTGGATTCCACACTGGGCCTAGCACCCATAGCCTGGACAATACAAAAATGTCATTCTGCATGGAGAAGTCTGCCGTGCCTTCCCTCCCCCTCTGACCACATGACCTGCACACAGCTTTTTATGACAGAGCGCTGCAAATCAGATTCACAATAAATATGAATTGGTGAGTCCCCCAGGTCAGCATCCAGCTCTACAGAGAATCTCTCGTCCCGACTCCACAGAGAATCTCTCGTCCCGGCTCCACAGAGAATCTCTCGTCCCGGCTCCACAGAGAATCTCTCGTCCCGGCTCTACAGAGAATCTCTCGTCCCGGCGCTACAGAGAATCTCTCGTCCCGGCGCTACAGAGAATCTCTCGTCCCGGCGCTACAGAGAATCTCTCGTCCCGGCTCTACAGAGAATCTCTCGTCCCGGCGCTACAGAGAATCTCTCGTCCCGGCGCTACAGAGAATCTCTCGTCCCGGCGCTACAGAGAATCTCTCGTCCCGGTTCTACAGATAATCTCTCGTCCCGGCTCTACAGAGAATCTCACGGCCCGGCCCCACAGAGAATCACACGTCCCGGCTCTACAGAGAATCTTACTGCCCGGCTCTACAGAGAATCTTACTGCCCGGTCCTACAGAGAATCTCCTGGCTCTACAGGGAATCTCTCGGCCCGGCTCTACAGAGAATCTTACTGCCCGGCTCTACAGAGAATCTCCTGGCCCGGTTCTACAGAAACCCTCCCGACTCTACAGAGAATCTCTCGGCCCGGCTCTACAGGGAATCTCCCAAACCCCGCTCCACAGAAAGTTTTTGCGTGTGTGAAATCAGAGTGCACGTCAATGAACAGGAAGTAGAGGTTGGCTATGTGATGGGTACTCACACCTTGGAAATACTTACACCGTCCACTTGGAGACAGAAAGCAAAGTAATGAAGAATAGAGAGAGAGAGAGACGTTAGTACGCAGAGACATTTGTTAAGGGGAAAAAAAATAAAATCACTTCTCAGATTATATTTAAAAACAGAATCTGTGAGCTTCATTTTAAAGGTCAGCTCCACCCAAAACATTACAAAGTTATTAGATGACGGGGTCACATTTCTTTAAATGATTCTCCATCATGAACAATAAAAAAACATGTATCCAATCAATAAATATCAATTTCAGAATGATTAAAAGGAAGAGGATACTTTTATTTCTACAGGAGGCCCAGACAAATGCCCGACATGACACTTACCCCCGCTGTGCCGGAAAGTGTCCGGATTCACCAACCCAAAGTTGCTATTGAAACTGTCCTGCATTGGAGTCTGCTTTGGGGCCCCAGCTGGAGGGGACATGGCCGGTGTGTTCTTAGAAGATGAACTCCTTTCTGTAGAGAGAAACAGAACATCACCATGAGGACTCCAACAAAGCAGCCGACGTCCATTCAATGATCTCCACTCCTAAAAAAAGATCAGGGACTCACCTTTGCTGGTCCGGAAGGTAAGCATAGCAGGCTGCCCCTCGCCGGCCGCATTTCTGGCCACCATCAGAACCTCATACAGACTGGACGGCTCGAGCTCCGTCAGAGGAAACTCGTTCTCGCTGGCCGGAACACGGATGGAATTCCAGGGCCCGTCCACGTTGCCGTCATCATCCAACTGCAGAAGATCATAAAAATGATGTATTCATCTCAAAGTAAAAGATTAAAAGGGCCATTCACACCATTGCCGTATGAGTGCGTTACAACACGGGGGCCACAGTGCACAAAAGCGCATGAAAACCATTAGAACTTATGAATCTCTTCATATGATTTGTTAGAGGGCCGGGCGCCAGGTTTTTAAGAACACCCAGAGGTGACCGGTGTTCATCACGAAAAACGACAGTTACCGCTATCGGGGTAAAGGAGCCCTTGGAGGTTTCAGAAATCATTAGATTAGAAAGTAGTTCAGGTCTCCGTCACCACCTCAGTCATTACCAACATATAGAACAGGACCAATCCCACTAAACATTCATAAAGGAATTACAAATACATTCTGACATATATATATACATATACACACACATAAAAAATAGCAATTTTATAACATGTCGGACAGCTCACCTTTCTATAGCGCACAAAGTAGGCATTTATAGGCAGGCCCCCATCTCGTCCCGATCGCCACACTAAGAAGTACACGTCCGGTTTGGTGGTCTGCGGTGGGCTGAGAATGATGGGCGCCTCTGGAAGCAGAGCGCCATGGAGTGGCTTGTCGGTAGGTGGAAGGCTGGGGTGGGTGGTAGTCCGAGTAAGGCTTGGCGTGCTGGTGTCTGCACGCACAGTGCTGATCTCATTGGGAACTGAAGGGTTAAAATACAATGGTAAGTAAGTCACATGGCCGGTCAGGTATTCTATGACATCATACTCGTGTCAGCTGAGCAGTAATATGTCTGGATCCTCTATGAAGAATAGAGAAGGATCCTCTGTATAGGCCCATGACTGGGTTCCTTCTGCTACTCTCACAGGTCCCCCCCCAGCAATTAGCAGCCCTGAGCTCTATCTTTGGCGTCAGGGGCCCATTCACACGTCTGCATTTATATGTCACCCGAAGAAGTGCGCCGCCTGGCAGGATGTGGCATCCAGAGTGGACAGAGGAGGGGAGGGGAGGGCTTCACGTTGTATGAAAGATCTTTACAAACTCTACTACAGATGGTCCAATATGTGTGTGTGTGTGTGTGTGTGCGCGTGTGTGCGTGTGCAAAAGACAACCGCCATGTGCGGAGTGCAGCAAAGGTGAAGCAGAACATTGATACAGCGTGCACCATAGTACAAGCCAAGCAGATTAGAATCTGAATGCCTTCCAGTACAGAGCAGAGAGAGTCGCACCGCTGCGCTCACACAGGAGGCCTCCAGCGGTCCAACAATCCCTCCTGCACTCTGCTCCAATCAGCTGCTGCTTAGGAATCTAGGACACTGTTGATTGGTGCAGGGTGGAAGAGGGCGTGTCTGACCGCTGGAGATCCGGGCACCGCTTGTGTGAGAGCGGCGGTCTGACTCTCCAGCATGCTGCTACAACGAGGTATTTTAACCCAAGCTGCAGCATTTCATATGGAACAATACACAGGAAGAGCATATTTATCACTGTGTGTACGGCCCGACTGCATGACAGGAATGAATAGGGAGGATTTCAAGTTTTTAAGTCGACCTTTGTGGTGCAGAGACGACTGACACTCTGCTAACATGACTATAAATGCCATAATGTACACCATCATCTTCTAGGCTGGCCATAGACAGCTCAAATGTTGGCCAATTCCCGCGGATTGGCCGGCCTAACAAATGATGACATTTGGCAGAGCAGCTTAAAGGAGAACTATGAGGTGAGTGATTTTCACTCCCCCTCATAGTTCTAGCCGACCTGTGACAATGAGACTGTCACAGGTCGGCTCGGTAGATCGGGAGGTGAGCGAACACATACCGGCGTTCGCTCACTTCTCGATCCTGTCACGGCTCTCTGCCGTGACAGGGGAGGGGCTGGATTCCCCCCTCCCCGATCTGCCAGCGCTGACTGGCGGAACGGACGGTGGGAGGAGGCGGGTACAGCTGGCTCTGCTTTTAGATAGGCAGAGCCAGCTGTCACTCACGCAGCTGGGCGGATCCAGACATAATTGTCGGGATCTGCTCCGGCGTCTCAGTATATAGGGAGCTGTAGCTCGCGGTATACTGAGCTTAGGGTGATGGGAGGACGCTAGTTTGTGTCCTCCCGTTACTCTAAGTAGGGCTATGGGGAAAAGACTTAACCCCATAGTTCTCCTTTAATGAAGCAAATGAGTACAATTCTGAGATGCATTGGGGGGAATTTATTAAAACTGGAGCAGACAAAATCTGACGGCAACCAATCAGCTTCTCTTTTCAGTTTGTTCAGTTAAGATTTGAAAATAAAAGTGAGAAGCTGATTGGTTGCCGTGGGCAACTGCTTCAGATTTTGTCTGCTCCAGCTTTGATAAATTCCCCCCCTCCCGATTGTGCTCATCACCTATTACAATGTTATCATTAAAAGTTAATTTCAGAGAATTACTTATCACATAGAAGAGAAGATAATGGACGTCAATGAGAACCAAATTTGGGTTCTGGAATGACCGGTGTTCCGGTGTTACCCTCCCAAAGACATCTTCTTTATGGGGTGAGGGAGTTGATGATCAGATCCAAATCAAAAGGAAAGACTCAATTCTCTGAAATTTTCACCCCCACCCATAAGATGAATGCACTGTAGTTCGCCCTTTCGCCGGTTGCTGCGTTCTAGTCATGTGACTTCTCTACACTGAAGATTTCCTCTTCCCCAATCAAAGGAACCAAAAGCTCTCCGGACCCCAGAACATGGGGAAGGTGAGAGAGGAGCTCTGTGCAGTGTCCTGAGAATACAACATAAAAAGGAGCTCCTATGGCCGGGACTTACCGACAGTCACGGTGGCTTCCTCCTGGGTGGAACCCAACTCATTGGCGGCCTTGCAGACATATTTCCCAGCATGCTTCGCTGTGACAGCAGAGATGTACAAGGAGCTGCTTCCTGGGTGGGACATGATCACATGCGGTGGGTCCTGGCTGGGGGTGTCTGCCGTCCTGGACTGTAACGCCTTTCGGGGTTTAGGCCGAAGGATCTGGGAGGGGTGGCTGCTTATTGCCCCGTGGGCGCCATACCAGCGGATGGAAGGGGCGGGGTTTCCAGTGGCATTACAGGTTAAAGTGACCCAGTCTCCAATCACTACGCTGACACTTGTAGGCGGGGACACAATGACTGGTCTGGAGCCCGAACCTACCAGAAGAAAGAAAAAATCCCAAATGTGACATTATTATAAAAACACTTTCACATTATCATCCGTCTGTACGTCATTTACCCCCTTCTGAAGCCAAAGCCATTTTTTTGGGGATGGAGTGTGGTAAAGTTAGATCCCCTGTCATGTTTTTATTGCTGCCCCCCCTCCCCCCACCCCATTAGGGAGATCCACCACCCTATCGGTGTCACCGGGCCCGGAAGTCAATGAAAATGCCAAGCTGTCATCAAAACAGGAATTGAAGTGAGATCTTCCAATGGGGACATCTCTCTAAGAGGGGCCACCATACCCATGGCCGTCTTAGTCTTGCAATGCCTTATGGGACTTGTAGTTCCACAACAGTGGAAATACGTCTTAGCTTTAGATTACCGGATGTGTGTGATCTCACCTGGATGTACATGGAGCCTGGCAGATGCCTGGACCACACCGACGCCATTGTCGGCCATGCACTGATACATCCCAGCATCCTCTTCAGCCACATTGCTGACGTGTAGCGTGTTCGCCAGCGGGTGGAGGCGGGGTGAAGGATAGATGCTGGCCGTGTTGTGCAGCCAAGTGATGTTTGGAGCCGGATTGCCCTGCGCCTCGCAGGTAAACATGACGTCACTGCCTGCTGGAGCGGTCTGGTCCTCAGGGGCCCGGGAGATCAATGGAGCCTCTGCAAAGAGAGATGAGCAATCAGAAGAGCCGGAGAAGACTCTTCGTACCTTCCTGACCGGAGCATTCCATTCCGGCCATGTCATACAGTCCCAGCGGATCATCTTAAAGGCACAGTCCACCTTTTGGATCAGGATTCATGTTATGCCCATAAAACATGGTCGCATTTCCCAACTCCGCACCCTTCAACTGCCCGCCATTCACCTGAATCACACGTTGCTTCTCCTTCTCTGCCAACACAGCCTCATCCCCCATTCATAGTGATCTGTGAATGAACATACTACAAGTCCCCGTCTGCCATCACAGGAGAGGGGATCAGCAAAGTGGCCGTCAAAAGGCCGGTGATGTCACCACACAGTTCATTCCTTCCTCCAGCCCCATAACGGGGAGCAAGCAATGCACTGCACCCCCGTGATGTACTGATCACAGCTGCAATGCTCTTTAGGCCGGAATCCAGCAATGTATTAAATGCTCATTCCTCGATTTTATCATAGTTGGTGTATTTATTACATTTGTTCCAAAGGTGGACTGTCCCTTTAACAGCCAGCGTGGGTCACCGGTCGTGTACAAATGTTAAACCTTATTGGATAGAGAACCATAATAACAATATAGTACAGAGGGTCAGCCAGCACGAGACACGTTTATTATGTTAGCACGCAACTGTTCTGGCTGTTCTAGTCCGGATTCTCCAATATATTAAAAAAATGAAAGTTGTCACCAAATGTTTACAGATTGGCCGGATGTGCAACACTAAAGGATGGAACAGTGGAGAACAAAACAAAACAAAAGTTCCAGTTCTCCGGTTCCCACAACAAGTTGGGAATGAAAATCAATTATTACAATGGTTGTCATGAGCCACGCGGTGGTTCTGCGTTCCTCCTGTTACCAGCGTTTACAGCCACAAGAGGGCGCCAGCTGCTTTCTGCTGCCAGAGATGCACCCGCATCATACCCATCACACACCAAAGGCATCTCAGATCAGACGGAGCAAAGGCGTGCAGGATCTCACATGGATGGGGCTCACACGCAGGATCTCACATGGATGGGGCTCACACGCAGGATCTCACACGGATGGGGCTCACACGCAGGATCTCACATGGATGGGGCTCACACGGATGGGGCTCACACGCAGGATCTCACATGGATGGGGCTCACACGGATGGGGCTCACACGCAGGATCTCACATGGATGGGGCTCACACGGATGGGGCTCACACGCAGGATCTCACATGGATGGGGCTCACACGGATGGGGCTCACCCGCAGGATCTCACATGGGTGGGGCTCACACGGATGGGGCTCACACGCAGGATCTCACATGGATGGGGCTCACACGGATGGGGCTCACACGCAGGATCTCACATGGATGGGGCTCACACGGATGGGGCTCACATGCAGGATCTCACACAGATGGGGCTCACATGGATGGGGCTCACACACAGGATTTCACACGTATGGGGCTCACACACAGGATCTCACACGGATGGGGCTTGCACGCAGGATCTCACACGGATGGGGCTTGCACGCAGGATCTCACACGGATGGGGCTCACACATAGGATCTCACATGGATGGGGCTCATAAATGTGGTTTCACAAACAATAGCCGACACCACAAAACACCACTAATCCTAACAAGCTGCTTTATGAGAATCGGCTCCGCTCATCCACAAAGAAAACAAGAGGATCCGATGGCAACTGTCACTTATTTCATGGAGTCTATCAAATCAAAGGGCGCTTCTGATTGGTTGCTCTTTCCAGTTACATGTGGAGTCAGAAGGGGGCCCTCTGTCCTGACAAAGGTCTGGAGTTCCACCTAAAATCTGATCATAGTCACAATTATATCTCCAAAAGAACTCGGATTCCCCTGAAGGATCTGCACGTGAAAAAGTTACATTCAGTGGGCAGCAGCTGCGAGGACCCCGCGGGCTTTACCTAAAATACACATAATAAATATGTAAGTCACACGTATGTAAGAAAGCAGTCTATGTGCCAAGAGGCCCCCGTCCTAGGGGACGTGAGCCGTCACATCTGGGAGGTGCCACTTTCCGGCAGAGCGTGAGGTGACACCAGCGGAACAGAGGGCGCAATTTTCAGAGCCCCTCCACAGAACCAGCGTCCCCGGGCGCAGGAGGAAATGTGGTCATTGATGAAACCAAGACGCGGTATAAATCGCCGGCATTAAGAGATGCCTGCACGCCATTAAGGGAAGTGTACTTGGCTCCGCAGACACCGTGCCAAGCGCGGCCTTACCGGCTCGGCATCCATCAGCGAGACACCTTGTCTAACATAATCGAGGTCTTGTTGTGGTGGCACCGGGAACGTGCCAAGAGAGATGGGTGTTGTGTGCTGCCAGCTGCGCTGACTTCCCATGCCAGAGGCAGGAGTGTTCCTATTACATAAGCCTGGAAATAAATTCCGATCATTACGGTGCTCAAAACCACAACCGTTCCCGACAGACACCCAGGACAGCGACGAGGGCTGGAGGAAAGTCTAATGAAAAAGCAGCACGCTGTCAAAGAGGACCTGTCATTAAACATCATAGAAGACTGCCATTGTAACACAGGAAGGCAGAATAATCAGTCAGGACGGCACTTAGAAGATGAGATTTTCCCTTCAGCCTGGAGGAGAGAAGACACGACAGACGTTCTGTACTGACCTAGAACAATGACTGAGTAGGTCACGTGAGCCACTTCACGAGTTTCATTGGCCAACAAGCAGGAGTAGTTCCCAACGTCCAGTCTTTCCACAGTCTTGATGACTAGGTTGGTATGCAACAATGTCCGTCTATGATCGGTGGCGCTCTGCCCGTCTTTATACCAGTAAACATGGCGAGCAGAGACCCCTCCGGCCACGCATTCCAGAGTCAACGTCTCGTGCAGATGGACAGACAGACGCTGGGTGGGGACTGATTGTAGGGGGATGAAGTCTGGGTGAGATGAACCTGCGGCATGAAGAAAAATAGAAGGTCAAGCTGTGGCTGCATATAAAAGAACGATTCAATCTTGCTTGTCGCAACCCTTGCCAAATATCCCGTGTAATGAGAGGGGATGGGGGAATATGTACTGTATATATGTCAGTAAGTGCTCCATCAAATTCTGTCAGCTGCGGTCAATGCAGACACTATTCAACTTGCTTGTCGCACTCCTTACCGAATGTCCCTTGTAATGGGGGGTGCTCGCAGTGACTGAGGATGGTGCCGCCAGTATCAGCAAACGTGTATAGATGTCACCAGCACACCAGAAATTCTTTTAGGATCACAAAATGTTCATTTGCTGAAGATTCTTGTCATAAAACATCGCCAATGCGAAGTCTGATGAAGGGACCCTGTGCAGCCCCCCGCCCGAAAAGCGCTTATTTTATGACAACAAATCTTCAATCAATGAACATTTTGTGATCCTGGAAGGATTTTTGGTGTGCTGGTGACATCTCTACGTGTTAACATATAAAAAATATACACCAGTAAAAAAAAATATATTATTCCCAGCACAGTAAGAACACAAACTGGTCCTAATATCAGTTTCCTATAATCCCCTTGCATGGCAGCAATCAGAGAGGGAGGGGCAAACAGTGTCAGCCAATCAGAACTCTATTACCTTGTATAGTGTTGTCAGTCTAACACTGTGAACACTGTTACGGGGGGTGGGGAGCAGTGTGCCGTTGCTCCTTCACTGACCAGCCAGGAGAGGTAGCACCACTGTATTTCTGAACTGCAACAAAAAGGTGGTGTCACCTTTCCGGCGGCGCAGGCTGGCAGGGGGGGGGGGGGGGGGGGGTGAG